GAGACTGCAGAGGGTTAGAACCCCTCTGTCTCCTGCCGTCACCCTGACCATCTTGGCTCCTCTTGGAGCCTCTCTGCCCTTCATCCTCCTCCTGCATCATTATCTCCATATGAGCTGCAACATCCACTAGACATCTATACTCTCAAATAAAGGACCCTCCAACCCTCAACTTGAGTCCACGCCTCAACTTCCGCTCAAACTCTAAACAACGGCGTTCCTCGGACGCCACGAGTTTAGGTGCAAACCTGGAGAGACTAGTAAAAGTAGCCTCAAACTCGGCCACTGACAAGCCCTGCTGCTTAAGCTGGCAAAACTGCTCCCTCAGCTTCTCCCTAGCAGCTGAAGATAAAAACTTATCCTGGAAAGCATTCACAAACGCCTCCCATGCACCACCAACACTGCCCTTTTCGTATTTCCACCACTGACCCGCATCCCCCTTCAGCTGGAAGGATGCCAAGGTCACCTTTAAAGCCTCGTCCTCGATGCCAAGCATCTCGAACGTCTTCTCCATCTGTTCCAACCACTCGTCAGCCTTAAGTGGCTCCTTCGGATCCCCAACAAACTCGTCCGGATTGGACCGGAAGAATTCCCTCTTCAAGAAGGAAGGCCCTGCTTCAGCTACATGGGCCTGATCCTGATTCCCCGCTCTGAGAATACCCAAAGCTCCTGCTATCTCTCGGGCCAAGGCACTCATAGCCTGCTGACCCGCTGGCCCGGCCACATTGGCCTGACCAACTCCCTCCTGCTGTGCCGGAATATCGTCCGGTAAAGGCATCTCCTGCCTACCACGCCTGCCTCGCCTACCACGTCCTCGTCCTGACATCCTAATAAAGGTAACCAAGACAGTTAGCATATTCACAAATGTGCCGAAGCTATAACACTCACGTCCTAATGCATGGACAACTGTAATTCACTCCACGTAAGCACTTAATCACATAAGCAATTACGAATTTCATTTCTGGATAATGATAGTCCCGAGGCATTACTAGAGTTCCGGTTGAAACAGCATTGATCAAGTGCTTTTCCAACAAGACTCCCAGAAACCCAAGGATCCAATCAACATCCTAGAAACTACGTTCCATACCCACATAGTCACATAAGCATGTTATCAATTAAGCACATAGCATATGACACTACATCCAAGTCTCTATCAAGCGAGACAAACCCATTGTGATCCTAATCACTTCCTACGTACCCAAATTATTCGAACTCGGTGCGCTCTGATACCAAGTTGTAACGCTCTCAAAATAACACATAAAACTCGTCACTAGACATGCAATTATATAAAAGAAAACAACCATTTATATTCATCAGAGTAGTTCTTACAATAGTATTACATGTTAACAACAAAAGCAAATGCCCTATGGGCTTACAACTTTCCAAGTCAACACCTGGTTACACAAAAGAAGAGTACTAACTCTATACAAAATAAGCCCTTGGCTTGATATACATGTAATACAAACAAAATAAACAAAAGAGTCTCCAACTCTCATCATCATCCAAGCTATGTCCTTGGAGGTGGCATACTACCTGTACCTGAAAATAATGTCCCATATAGGGTGAGCCAACGCCCAGTAGAAATATGCTAAACACAATATGAGCAATAACTAAGACGTTAGCAATTGATAAATGTTCAAGTTCCATAAACCAATTCATAATCCATTTCCATTTCATGACCGCTATGTTCATGTTTCATTTCAGTTTCCATTTCTTATCAATTTCACAATTTACATCAACGGCTCAGAACCTGGCCAACCACTTATATGAGACAGTGACTCATATCAGACATTTTCCAATTTGCAATTGATAAACCTACTAGTTGTATCAACATTTCAACAGATAGGCATACAAGCTGTATCCACATTTCAACAGATATGCATATTAGCTATATCAACATTTCCAGAGATAAGCATATGAGCTGTATCAACACTTCCATAGATAAGCTTATAAGCTGTATCAACACGTTAACTGACAAGCATATGAGCTGTATCAGTGGAGTCCATCCCCTATCTCCTCCCAAACAACATCCGGTTTAGAAGTCCATCCCCTATCTTCCCCTAAACAGTGGAGTACATCCCCTATCTCCTTCTATACACACAACGTATATACACATGGGTCATATACACAATCAATCAATACATAATGTTAATGTATTCTATCAACCGTCATACTCTATGACATATCCAATTGATTAGTTTTAGTTTGCCTAATCATCATGCATTGTCTACAACAATCAAAACTACCCTCCACCGGTAGTCCAAGCAATTATTTCTACACATATAATAAAAGCTCAAACAGATAAAATATCAATGTTTTCAAAAGTGAGCGATTAACAAATCCAGCTCCACTATTCTACTATATAATGAGTCAATTTCATTATTTCCAACTCAATTCCATATAACCACAATTTTCCCAAATTAATCATACCAATTAATTTATACAATCAATTAGGGTTTTCTACCCCATTTCCCAATATTGACCCAATGGTCTATATTTCAACAACCAACAACAATATCATTATTTTGAAACTCATAATACACATTCTTGGAATCAAAATAACAAAACCCTCTTTTAACATTTCGAAACCCTAAGTCCCAAAATTTATCCAACTTCAACACTTTATCAAAACAACCAAAAATCTATGTCAAAGAACATAAGAGTGAGTAGGAATCCCTACCTCAAAATCGGAGCTCAAGGGAAGAAGATGAAGAAACTCAACGTGCTCCAAAACTCAATATTCTCGGATCAAAGTGTAGCCCTCGACGATCAACCCAACTTTTACAAAGGCCGAAGGAAAAGGAAACACTCTAACTAGATCAAACCCTAGAGAGAAAGGAGTTTCTAGAGAGAGGAACTCTCAAAATGCCTTTTTAGAAAGTAAGAGAGAGAGAGAGAGAGAGAATGTAAAAAGTGATTTTAAAGTGCCCAGCTGCCAACTAATATACGACATTCCCACTCGAGCGGAGAACACAACGCTCGAGCGTCAAGAACAAAAAACTAGGTCCGCTCGAGCGCAATAAGGCCCGCTCGAGCGCCAAGACACAAGAATAAAGTACATCCACTCGAGGGCGAAAAACAGCCCGCTCGAGCGTAGATTCCCCCTCCTAGAACTTACACCAAAAAGTACTATCCGCTCGAGCACCAGAGTACCCGCTCGAGCGCAAAGAAACCCGCTCGAGCGTGAAAAACATGCTTGCAGAAGTTCTGTAATGCACCAAAATACTGGGAGCGTGCAATATCCGCTCGAGCGCAAGAAGACCCGCTCGAGCAGACCTCCTAAAAACTGGGCAACAAATAATTGAAACCAATGCCCAACCAACCTGTAACAACTCTGCCCAATACATCCTAAAACTCAATCAAGCGGAATTAAAGGATGACAACAAGGTATACCACCACCAACATCACGAAACTCAAGTCCGGAACACAACAGAACAGTAAAGGGACAACTGAGATTGCTATACTCTCTCTCTCTCTCTCTCTTTCTATCACAGATTTGTGAACAAGATTGAGTCAAGTCAAGTCGAGTTGTAGAGTTATTCAGACGAGTCGTCGCTCGGGTAGGAGACAGAGTCGAAGATGAGTCAGACCTCGTTTGGGTCGGCAGCAAAGACAAAGCACGGCGAGGTCGAGAGGAAGAAAGGAACTCCGTGGATAGAAGTAGAACACATGTACATTTTTTGGGTTATTTAGATTCTTTTCTTGGCTACCAAACATAGTGTTTTCTTAGGGGCCAAACGGATCATCTACTAATGTACATAAGTTTCTTGATTGAATTGTTTTTTTTGTTTCCCTCTTTTGATTTTGTGTTTTATTAAGAACTACCCTAAATTGGATGATGACAAATATGCTGTTTGGCTTTGGGCCACCTCTTTGATGTATCCTAAACTTCTATACATGGTTGTTTCTCTCAATTGTAAGTCTCCTTTGCAACTTTTCAGATGTTCCCCTAGCATTTGTTCATGTTTGTAGAACAAATGAGGTATAAGTCAGTGATGGATGTAGTGGTCAGACTTTGCCATTTTTTTGATTATAGGAAATGGCTGCTACGGATTATTGAGAAAACTGGATTCAGTTTGGGGTCTGTTAATCCTCTAGTGTGCTAAACTGAAAATTATGATTGATTTCAAATTTTGATTTTCAACTATAGACCTGCTATTCCAATAGGTTGTGATAAAATGTGAGGCATGTGCTATTAAAAACCCATTTTAAATCATTTTGCTTCCCCATTCCAAACTTTTCAAACATGAAGAGGAATTGAATAAAGAAAGAGCATTAGGAACAAGACACAGAGGCAGTGTAAAATCAGCCAAAACTCGTTACCCTAGATGAACAAACTATCCTGAAGAACGTGTGTACACCTATTAGACTCTAACACAATTGTTGATGTAGAACATAATAAGTAAAGGTACAAATTGGAGATTTTCACATGGGCATCACTGCTGGAAATTGGACTTTTAGTGGCGTTTAAAAAACGCCGCTATATCTATCAAAAACGCCGCTAATTCCTTTAGTGGCGTTTAGTACCAAACGTCGAAGCTGCGGCCGTCGCTGTATCTTTGCGACGTTTTAAAAACGCCGTGATATTAGTATAGGAGGCGTTTTAATAAACGCCGCCAAATGTCCCACTATACACTTGCTGACGTCACCAACAATATTTAGCGACGTTTTTGAAACGCCGTGGTATCTGTTTTCAAAAAATATTGACAGTTTAGAAGGCGTTTGTAGAAACGCCGTCATATCCCCTCTTTTTTTTTTTTTTGTTGAAAATTGTACTAATTTTTATTTGATTGAATTAAAAAAATACCTGTAGTAATACTGACATATAAAATATTAACTCTCATTCAAATAACAAAAATGAAACATTAATTCAATTTCTTATTCAATTAATATCCAACTTCCATTCAAATACCTGTAATAAATATAAAATAACTAACATATAAAATAATAACTCGCATTGAAATAATAAATGAAGCATAAAATAATCCATTGACAAAAAATAAAAAGCTCAAAAACGGTTTTAGCATTATAAACCAAACAATGAGTTTGGTCCATTTACATCCGAACTTCCAATACAATGCTATCATGGATACAATAGTAGGTAACCCTTTTCAGCTATGGAGAAAGTACTAAATGGAGCAAAGATGATAAAACAAAAACCAAGTATAGAAGAGTTTTCAGATAAACACCCAGTTTCTTAAGACTTGGCTTTCATTTCTTGGAAGATGGTTTAATAAACTTCAGAATAATAATCCAAGCATCTGCAATGTATAGTCTATAATGGAAAGTACACGGATATTACTCCAGATTTGAACTACATATATAGTAAATGATAACAGGAAAAAAGTAACATGTTGACAAAGAGTGTCTAGTGGGCAAAATAACCTCTGGCAGCTGTATTCAATTCTGTTATACAGAGATTTCCCATCTAAATTGTCAATCAATGGTTTTGCAAGTAATCAAAACTCAGGCTGCTGACAGTAGTAAGGGGCCTGCATGACAGTCAAATTAATTGGAATTCATTAGATTTAGATACAGAAGTTGCACGAGGAAACAACGAGGAAACAGGTGGAATAGAATTTAACTTCCATATACAAGATATGAAATTACTGATATAGAATTTAAAATTTGAACTCATAATACACCATTTGAATATATCAATCCTCTATTTATTTTCTGGATCAATTTCTTGGTATCCAGTTCTAATACTTAGACTTTCCCTAACTGGGATGTAGAGTTTGATTTATTAAAATAAAAGTAAAACATAATAGAATGGTTATTCTTTGTTCTTTTATAAAATAATTATTCTCTTAAAAAGGTAAATAATTATTTTAAATTCTAGGTTTGTAGTGTGATTGCTCCAGTAAACAAAACTAGCTTGGGGCAACTCATCCCAGTCAAGATCACTAATGTGTCAGTAATACAATATAGTAAGAGAACCTATGTCAACATTAGTGTGTCCTTTGGCATAGACCCCCACAAACTTCCACTTGGCCATATGATAAGCATTTATACCATTTGGTTCATGCTCTGCCCCTGACTTGACTTCATTCAATCCTAATTCTCACACATTCCACCTTCCCCAAATTAGAGCTGTCAAACTGAGTTAAATAGTGGATTCTTTAAACTCAATTTAAAAACCTAACAAACATTTTGAACCAATCTCAAATAAGTACAACTGAACATGATTCCAACACAGAGGAAGTTGGTTTGTTTGCATGCCTGCCCCAAATAAATAAAAATCAACATTAAAAATTATTCAACATTCTATCCAAACCAGGCATTTTCTGTTACAGCAGGGCAGGTAGAGCAGGGGCAGGTGGGGAAGGCAAAAGGCAAAAAAGAGAAAAGATGCTGACCAAAAAGTATGTGGAGGCAAAAAGTGACATCACGCAAGCTGGCTCTTGTCCAAATCTGACAAGTGAACATCAACCTAATTTTCAGATTGCAAAGTTAATCCAGTAATTGCAAAAACACCACACAAGCTAACAATAGTCATCTCATTAAAATTGTTCAATAACATTTCACAAAAATGGCTGTTTGACTTTTGTGGTTCCCATTTTACCCATCAACCACACATTGGGTTTTATTAGTAGTTAGGGGCTGTTTAGGATTGGAGCTTCTGCTCAAGCACTAAGAGAATCTTTGCACCCGATATTGAGGCAAAAACTGGTATACTGTTCGATGGTTTGGTGTCATTTTTTGTTTTGTCGCCACAACCTCTTCTTTTTTCCTACAAATAGGATGGGGAAAAAAAATGGAGAAAGAAAAATAAAGGGCAAGATAAAAGAAAAGAAAATAGAAAACTTGGCTTCTTCTAGACTTTATTATTAGTCAGTGTTTTCTAGTTACTCTTGGTGTCTAATAACTGTTACATGAACTACAGGAACTTTGGGAAGAAAACTTGAGTATGTTTCTCAACTAATTGTACCCACATAATTTATCTAGTTCTTTATAGCATTGAGTATGTTTTCCACCTAGGAAAATTTAGTATATAATTATCTAGCAAATTGAGGACTACATAGATAAACTAAGATGCAATAAGTACCATGTTTGCTAATGTGTGTTGGACATTCTCACAACACTGTTTCTTTTTCTTAGACACTTTCCAAACACAATGTAGGAGAAGAAGAATAAACCATACTTGTGAAAACCACTTGATACTTAAAAACAATGTATATGATTTATGAATAACATCATTCTCAACTCAAAAAAGCATTTGCCTAACATGTCTTTAACACTATTGATTTATGAAAGAAGGAAGGATTCTGCAAAGATTTTTCT